ACAATGATCAATTTTTTGCTTGTCATTTTCCTCTCCTACATTGGACAGGTGGCCCTTAATGTGCAGCATCCCCATGTGATCAACTATACAGGTGGACTCCCTCTTCAACAAAACTCAAGGAACCAGAAACAAATTTGTTTCAAAGAACCATGTAACATGGGGCAAGAACCGTATGGGACCAAATAAAAGTTTGTTATAAAGAAAAATGTATTCGTAGATGAGAAGGAGAGTCAACCTGTATATAGTTGATCAACAGGGCCATGCTGCAAATTTAGGGCCACCTGTCCAACATAGAAAAAGGATGACAAAAAAAAAATGGATGATCAGTGTAAGATATCTTTCATTTGATTCCAATAATAACAGAACATTTACTGGTGCGATTCAACAGAATTTATCGGTAGAGCAACTTCAAACAATGTTTTTCGGAGACTGAAATGGCTAAGAGGGAACATTTTGTTGGAAGTCACTGAATTAATCAAGTATATATATCACGGGTTACAGTGCATATGGTCTTTCCTAATCAACACTTTCATTCATTTGTTTACAATAGGAAAAGTAATTATGGTAAGACAACTCCAATAACCCCCAAGAGTTGTGAGGAATATTTGTTCCAATCATGATTTAAATAATTCTTCCATCAATAAGAATAATGTTCCATTCAGAGCAAAACAATGTCAAAAATTCAGGTGCAGTAAAAAAACCAATTATCAATTGATCCACATTGAACTTATAACCTGGCCTTCATTTGGCACGTGAAAAGATTTTTCCAGGTTGAGTAAATTTTTTCAATTTGGATCGGGACTTGCAACAGAGAAAATGAGTTTTATTCTATTGGTCCAAATAATCTGCTCCGGGTTATCAGGATTCTAGATTCCTAGGGCAACCCAGAGCAACTTCTATACTGTACTGGATTTCCCAGCAACTCGGCAAATGGTGTTTTGAAGGGAAATTAAGTTCTGAGACATCTCACAAAGCTGAATTTGTGTAAGTAAAAATTCCTCGCAGATGTTAAGAAAGAATTCATAGCTTAAAATCAATTCAAAGATCAATACGCACCATGACAATTAAACTAGAAGGACACGAACGAAGTGTTACAAGGAAGGCGTCATAAGGCAAGCTTTATCCACTTCCACGACGTGGCCCCATAAACCAGCGGTTCAGTGATGCAAAATTTTGCATAAAATTGGGTTTGAACGCAACAAACTCAACATGCGCGAACTCCGTCATACTTGGTCTTGAAATTCACCAAAATTACTCCCTCTCTCTTCTATCAAACGCAGAAACGTTATATTACGTAAATTCACGCGATTCGTACATTCCTGAAATAGGCAGATAAAAACAATTCACTTATCTTTTCACTGTATTCGTACATACACTGATGTCCAGAACAGTTCATCACAACAGGGTTCTCATTCACACAAGCGTAAATAATCAAGCAATTCTTCGAATATCTCCCCTCCTTCTTCAGCAGATTCTTTCACGCTCACAAAATCAACTGCGTTGGAAGTGTCGTTGTCCGGAACACTTCTTGCCATTGCAGCTGGCAGAGACAAGCTAAGCGATGATTCCGGATCCACGGGGTTCACGTGATAATGCAATGCCCGAACCTGATCATCCACCTGTCGACATCTGAACAAAGGTTCGATTCGCAATGCCGAGTCGCACTTCAACTTTTTCAGAAGGTGAAGGAAGGCATCAATGGCTGACGATTCACTGAAAAGAAAAAGACTACGATCAATAAGTCAATCGACTATAGGCAATAAGACAGACACTGAAGTACAGTATTTATGCAAATGCGGTATTTCACAAGACGCCAATGATAATATCGATTGATTCACAACTAAATTTTTGATAATTTCTATCATCTCTGCAACGACGAACTGCGAATAAAGTAACACTACCGTAGGTTTTTGCAGATAGAATGAGCCTCGCGATCAAAATTCGAACACTCAAGCCAATTCACGAAGAAACTCGCAGACTTGCAGAAAAAAAAATTGCTAGACATTCTTTTACATCAGCAATGCACATCGCCGGAGTTCCGCGTTCAGTCAAGGCTGAAATCTTTCTTCAGCAGTGAAAAATCTCGATGAGACACCATTAATTATAATTTGTGAACCAATCCTATAAACATACACTGGTATCAAGGTCAAGGTGCGCCAAATTTACGCGCTGACACATATGTGTAGAACATATAATACGGAACACATATGTGTAGAAATCGCGGATGAGATCGTTTTACGTTCGCTTATACGCGACAGGCAGTGAAAAACAACAATAAATTAAAAGAGGCAGGCTAACCAAGCAAATAAGGTGCAATGAAGGCCGATGAAGTCACGATGACACAAACGTTCATCCACAGTCAGCAGGCATAAACCGAATTTTCGGTGAGCAGCTCCCGGTGGATGAAAGAAGCATTCGTGCACGTCCACAGGAATGAATCCCAGTTGTGTCAGAACATCTTTCCACCTTATATCGGTTTCACTTCCAACTTTCATGCAAAATCGTTCACGTTTCTTTGCGTTACAAAAAACAACCGCGAGATCCTGGATTGAAACATCGCCTGGAAAAATAAGGCAATGCAATTATTGTATAACAAACGTGAATTCTTCTTTTTAGCTTTCCAGTTTGCTCAGAATGACAAGCACTCACCTGCCCATCTAGGCGGTGGATCATCAAATCCGGCACAACATGTTCCATGTTTCAAGATCAATCTTTGGTCCCAGGGTTTGGTCAACCTCAACTGCTTCGCTTCGCTGACAAAATTTATTTCAAAAAATACGCTGAAGTCCAACTCATCACGTTCAATGCAGTTCTCAGACTCCAACACTCCTGCGAAGAACAGAGTCAATGAAAACATTCAATAATACACGTTTGAAGCCTGATCTGTAATGTTCATTACCTATCAAAAGGCAACAAACTTCAGAAGCACCAAAAACTTCGCTGGTCGGCGAATAACGAAACGGAACAACTGATTTCTTGATCAAATGTGAGTTAACATTCACTGCGTCTACTTCAAAATTCGGGATGATTCGAACCTTGATTTCATTCAGAACTGTCCCCCTGAAAATGAAATACAGTAGTTCATGGTAAGAAATAATAAAAATGAGCGAAATACAGTACTGTACAACATTATTCCCAAATTGAGATGTGTCGATAAATTCACCATGCAGTGATTAATTTGAATTCTCACTGACGTCCCACATGAAGAAAAACTGGACTACTAGTTATGAAACAGCCTTTCTTGAACCATCAAAGAGAACCTTCAGGGCGGCCAATTTGGGAAAACATGAGAAATTCGCAGTTAGAAGCAGAGCTTTCATCGACTCAAGAACGCAGATCTTTTCTGAAAAAAGAAAAAATAAATATCCGTACAAATAGAAAAAAGTACTCACGCACACACGTTCACCAATGCTTCAAAAACGACGGAAACGTTTTCGCCGCAGGGTTTAAGCGTATGAGTCATAATCGTCAAACTTGGCACTCTATCATCTGGTTCTGAAACCTGAGGTAAAAATTATAATTTTCTCCAGAACACGCAGTACATGTTTTCATTTATTTCGTCGCTTACGCATCCGTCTGATGAGATCAGCAACGACGCCTCAGAAAATTGATTGCGTATCTGACGTTTTACACCGTTCACGAAATGGAAGTCACGCAAAAAAGTTCCCATGTCTTGCTTTAAAAAAAAGGATGCAAAAGAAAAAACCGCGTATTAATTAATTGCATCATATAGAAATACGGTAAATGTAATTTATTCTCGGGTCAAAGAATTACCTCCAGGTTATTCTTCAATACCCGACGCACTGAAGGGATCACGAGATTATTTTCGATGCCAGCATTATTTTCAGTTTTCAGTAAAGACAATAATGCAGCGTGCCCCGCAATAAAATTCCCATCCTTTTCGATTCTGGCCTCGGGTAAATCCATCAAACCGTCACCAGGAATCAACCTGAATTCCGAGATCCCATCGATCACAGACACAACCTGAATATACAGTACATCAAACCACATCAAGTTACAAACTTTTGATGTTGAAGCAAAAACTCAGTAGTGTACAGTGATTCAAGCGCCACAAGACCTCAGAAAATATTGATACTTCAGAGAGCACTGAATATTCGATTAAGGAAACTGGGTCTCCAATTTTCTTCCTTAAAAGAAAAAAGCCAGAAAGGGTCCACGACTAAAGAAAACGGGGAGTACTAGTGTCGTCCAACGATTAATATTCGTCAAAATTCTGGGTGTGATGAGGAAATCATAGCAAAAAGTTTCACATCCTTGTTAGGCCAGAGGGGGGAGGAAATCATTGATAATCAACCAACCTCTAGAGAACTGTAAGAAATCGTAAAAATTCGACCGTGCTCGGCAGAATATAAAAGCACAACCGAATCCCCAAACGCAGGGAAGTCGGGAATGAAATACGCTTCCATGCCCTTGTGCAAACACTCCGACAAACTTTCGGGAGTTTTCCGACGCATACAAAAGAACGTCCTCATCTCGAAGATTTCTCCTGAAGCGAGGAAAAACATCACCCTGACTTGGCCTGGAAACAAGAATGCCGGATATCATATTGGTTATTAATGCATACGAACACTTAGGTTTTCAGGAGGTAGTACTAAAGCAGCAATCGTAAAAATTATTCGGTAGTTTCCATCATTTCTTCGTTGATACAAGGACAAGAATCTAAATATACATTCAACAGATCAAAAGAAATGAAAATGTACCTCGGCGATCTTCATCAGAAACAAACGTGAATCCTGCCACAACATCCGCGACCAAATCCGGAGGAACCTCCGCTCGCCAGTCTGACGAATTACGACTGGTCTTCCGATCCATGCGATGTTTCCCAAAGGGAGCAATACTAAAAAATCAGCTACCGGCTTTTTCAAGTATTCTCACTCAAAACGAAAACTGTTCCTGCGCTGAACATACGGTAATTGCGGGCCTTGCAAGCAATCAAAATGAATGACACAGAACTCAAGAATAAATCAAGTGACGACAACTGCCAGCTCATCAACCGTGGCTTCATTTCACAAAATAATTCTTCCAAAACCAACAATGCAAGTTTCCAAAGACACCACGAAGAATTTTTCAATAACGGCCATCACTTTTCCGACGGTGAGATCGGATAATCCGTAAAATAACAACCCAACACTGTGCTAAAAATCCCCGTTATTCACGTGCGATGAAGGGCCTTTACTGAATTCGCTTTTCGGAGCAGACACAAATGGTGAGAAACCGTCGCTTTACAGCACCAACTTCCGGACCTCTTCTGGTTTGAATTCGTCCCTGAATATCAGAAGAAAGGGAATTAGAGAAAGGCCATGCTTTTTTTTTTTAGCTTGATTAAGAAGCGTGGCATTTTATCAGCACTAAAGGTAAGACACAAATTAAATGACTTGTTTTAAAACAACTACAGGGCCATTGAAGCGAACAAGAGGAGGGAAATCAATTGACATAGTCGCTAAGCAGAAGTAGGAGTGAACGTGACAATAAATTCGTTTTCCACCTCAAGTACATTATTCATCCTTCCAACTTTCGGAAGCAAACATTTTCAACTTTTGCTCCGCAGTCACTCCATAAAAAGTTCCGAAATGGAAAGATATCGAAGAAGATCGGCCTACAAAGAATAAAGGGAAATGTAGTGTCCGTCAGTCTAGAGAAATATTGTGGACACGGAAAAAACATTGAAGAGAAGAAGCTTTGATATGAGAAGCTCGGTCACTAGAAGTCTCTTTCCAAGTTTCCCCATAATACAGATATGGAAAAGGAATCATGATTTCAAGGTTTGATTAGAAAATATACTGTGCGTCTAATCATGAGTTATGTCCTAAGCATACCGGAGAATTAACAGCGAAACAAGAAATTCAACCCTGCGTTGTACCTCCAACTAAGAATAATTCGCAGTTTGAATCAAATGATAGAAGCCAATTACAAATTTAAAGCCTGATCATTCTCACCGTAATTCCAGAACCAGCTTCACTTGTGACGGCGACATGAGCCTCACTACCGAATCCGGTCTGCTGGTCCAAAATTCAGAAACTTCCGTCAAGCGCTCCATATTCAACAACGTTGAAATCTGTGTCAATCGACTGAACTTCTCCCGGACTCCCCAAGTGCACATTGAACTAAGATACGCCACTAACGCACGGATTTCCTTGTCAAGCCGAAGACCACCCAACTGCCAATCAAGTGACAAACAATGAGGGAACTGCAAAAAAAAAAAAAAGGCCGAACTTGAAACTAACTCGATTGAACGTTTTCTTCATCACAGCCTTTTCCAACTGGGTTGTCACTTCTCCAGTGAGCATGACGACAAGAATGTCATAATTTCCTGGCGTCAATGAGTTCTTGAACGACATTAGAAGAGCATCCAAATTTGCGATGAACTCATGCACAAAAGGGTCGTTGGCTTCGTAATCACTGAATTCATCCTGAAAAAAAAAAAAAAAAAAAACATGAAAATAGAAAAAGGAACATTACACGCATGCAATTTTTAAGCAGATAAATGTGACTAAAAATCAAAACAGAAAGCAAACACACACTACAAAATTGTCGCGTTTCATCCGACAAAAAAAAAAATTCTATGATCTCTGTCTAACTCACATCGCTGATATTGTAATTTGTTCCAATAAATCCTTCAACCCAAGGACGTACTCTGGGTTGAACCACTGCCGCTTTAACTTGATCCATCCCGAGGTCCATCAATGATCTGGACGAAAAGTCATCGCATCACAAAAGTATGCTCATCAACAGGTCTTTGAAAATTTTCATACTTCTCTCAACATACTGCGTCAGAACATCGAAAAGTAGGCTCGTACTGAACATTCAGGAAATAGAGAGAAATCATAAGCGATTCACTTGCCTAAATTGATCCTCCAACGCTTGTATTTGCCCAATGCTGTTATCCAGTTTCACCCGATCTTTCGTCGATAGATCCCAGCCTTGCTCGGGATGATCAACTTCCTGCATCAATTTCTTCCTCATAGTTTTTGCATAATCTACGCTCATCTCCGAATGATTTAAATGCAAGAGAAATGCAAGTCTTGCGGTCTCCGTATCCGTAGTTGCATGGAGCTTTCCATGCTGAATGGACGATTGAAGAACATTGTAAGCTTGACTGAGGTCGAGATAACCAGTTGGAAAATTCTGCCTGTACAATAAAATAAATACATTTATTGAGACACAAACAGCTTCATTTTGGAAAAAGGTTGCACTTTCGGGGAAAAAAATCATCGACTAATTTCGCTCACTGATCGCTTGGGCTTTGAAAAAACATAGTCAAAGAATAGGCAGCCAAGCAAAGTACCTCAGAGCAGAGCGTAAAGAACTGCAGAATTCCCGCTCAAGCACAGCACAACCAATATTCATCACGGCGCAGGATGCATCCACGTTGCTCGTTTTCAATGCTCGCCTAAAAAGAGAGAACATTGTTAGTTACTTGATATAAAATAAATCCACAAGCCGAAGCTTTTTAACTTTTCTCCGTGTTTGAAACCTTCGGGGCCAAGACAGCGACGACGTAAAATCTCTACTTACTAGGTTCCATCAATTACTTAAACTCAACCCAACCGCACATGACTTAACCCCTATTTCACAATTTTGACACGCTAAATGATTCGCATTCAACTATCCGATTCTTTAGTCATGTTTCATTTACTCTAACCTTATTTTTGATTGTTACAGTATTATTTTTCAACCCAAGTCAGTTCACTGCACCGGGATTGCACTTCATTTTCTTTAACTTGTCTCAAATTTATTCCTTCCTTTCTTGGAGTACTGCAAGATTTACAGTCAAAGAATGGCCTAGCTTGGGTATAAAGCACATCAGATAACAAAATTACCGCATGCATTTTTGAAAGATGAAGAACACATCGTCAACCAATGGAGACGATTGTGTTTTTGCAGCTTCCGTTGCCATTTCTTTCACAGTGCCGTGTGTGGCAGACGCAACCGATGCCGCATGAACCTGCACCGCTTTCCCAATGGAATTTCGAAGATAGTATTCTTCCAAGGCAACATAATCTCCAAGAAGTTCCTCCAAACAACGGACAGCCTGGCTTCCCTTGACAACTTTCTCGACTTTTCCAAGCATTGTCGATTTTTCTTCCAATCCTTCTATTGTTTCCGCATCCGTCTGCAAAATACATAATGAAGTTTCAAACTCAGCCAGAAATTTCCCGTAGTTTAAAAAAAAAAAAAACACAAACCGTGCAGCGTTTAGTGATGAACTTCGTGTAAAGAGCAATACGAGCGCCAATCAAGACGAGTTCCCCAAGCAAAGCATCGACTGCTTTTGCATCCAACTTTGAAATTGAGCCACCGCGGCGCTTGCTTTTACTTTCAGTTCCTAGCCACATTTTCGCATTGCTGATCATATTTTCGAAATTTCTTCCTCGGCGAAAAGATTCTATAACTTCCCGAAAATGTGAGTCGCATTCCTTTTGTAATTCAGCCACAACATAAGTCAAGTTTCCGGGACCTAGAGAGACATGGAATCAGGAATAAATACAGGGTGAGTCAATCCCTCTTCAATTTTCTCACCATAATAAGTTTCGACGAGAGGCTGATGAACTTCGATTATCCTCGCGGTTTCTTCCAAGAGAATGGTCAAAAGATCCGCGAACTTGACGTTTTCGCGTTTATGTTCTTGTTTTCCAGCAAGTTGCGCTTTCGTCCATGCTTCCCGAAGCTAATTTAAAACTCACTGACTTACGAACGCAAAATAAATTCAGTGGAACTCACTTTCCGTTGTAAGCACTTCGAAAACTTCTGCAGGCCTTCCTCCTGCATATTGAGGAGTGGAAATATTTTGAAAAATCTTTCCACTGAAGCTGCATCATCTTGAGATACAGCCAGATCGAACTGAGCAGAAACGACCTGCATCAAATGGGCTCTGGACGCATGTAAGCTAGCGAATGCATCCCTAAGGCCGGAATCGTCTTCTTTCGACGTAAGGGCAGCTTCATCCAGCGATAAGAAGCGGTGGATGTGCCCAGCGGCTTCTTCGAAGTCTTCGTTTTGCAAGGACGTTCGCACACCTTCAGTACAATTTTGCAGATCCAGAAGATCATCAACACGAGACTGACATCCACTGATATGACTCTGTAAAACTTGAACAGATGATAGGTCTGCCGAACGGTCACGTCACAAGCCACATTTTACCTTCATCACATCTAACCGGCGAACTTTAGCGCTTACGCTCTCAGCTAAAGAAGAAGTCAAAGTCGTCATTCCACATAGTTGGTCAGCATCTAATTTTACATGGTCGAGGGTGGTCAGAAATTTCCTTAAATTGTCCAGCTGCACTCCGATCTTCGAGCCATGGTGAAGGAGATCTTCCAATCTCTGATTCCCACGGTCCTAGATCAATAGCGCTACAAATCAGACGAGCTCGAGGGTCGCACAGTTCAGGTAAACTCACCTCTTCCAAACGGATTTCTTCGCACTTCTGACGTATATCAAGCAAGGTGCTCAACGATGAAGAATCCATTCTCAATCACAGTCTCGCCTAACACGCACACGTTCAAAGCGCGAAAACGCAGCGTGGAACGGATCGAATTGTCAGACAGAAGGAACACACAATACACATTTAGTTGACCGTATTGCTTCTAGATGGTGCTCGAATTTACTTGAACAGACAATATGTAATGTACAGTACTGTACTCAGAAGTCAACAATCTCGACATCCTAATTTTTCATGGCTTATAGAACGGATTGTCTTTCATTAAGGAACCCTTATAGATAACGTTTCCAGGAGCTGGTTTGCTGCTCAAGACATTTGTTGCTCAAGTACCCCAAGACATTACTTCTCGCCCCATGGACACTCATCAGGAAAATCGGAAGAATGAACTCATTCGAAAACCATAGTATCTTTCAGCACGATGTTCGTATTATTTTCTTCCCGCGTATGATCAACAAAGCTGAAATAAAGGTTCAAGTTCCAACGGACGTGCATATAGAAAAGGATTTCTCGATCAGAAATAATCGAATTATACGTACCATGTAGAACAATTACGGAAGGGAAAACTTGAAATTCAGACAATATACGACAGAAATCTTCAGAATCTTAGCACCCAAAGTCGCCGATTTGTGATCGTAGGTACCATGGATTAGAAAAAAGAGGAATATTATGAAAAAACCCGAGGTTCATGTTAGCGCGAGAAAGTTTACCGTTAAATTTCCGAGAATTTGGGAACACTTGAAAAAATTATACATTTTCGTCATCTCATTCAAACAAATCAAGCGCTTAAAATAATCAGGAAGAATTTCAGGAAAATTTTGAAGAAATGTTTTTCTCCACAGCGATGGTATTTTTTCTGACAAACTTTATTTACACCTCATTTCAGGGGTTGGGAATATCTTTCCTATTCAGTTACTGATGTTCAAGCAAATAAATAATATTTGAGAATAGTCCAATACATGACCGAGCACAAAGACATAAGCACCGATGAAAAAAGCCCGCTGAATCAAAAGCGAAAGGAAAAAAACAAAAGCTGAACGACATCGGTTAACCAAACTTGAATATCACAGCAACGCGAACAAAAAAAATCCGCCACGAATTGAGGACAAGAAACAATCCATTTTGATCAAAAAATTTTCTTCACAAATAAAGCCGCTGCTCAACGACCGGTTGATGAACGACATTCGTGCACAAAAGCGGGATGGGAAAAGGGATGCATGAAAATCGCTCGCACACCACCTTCCATCGGCCAATGTTTTTTTTCCTTTCTTCCTACGGATTTCCCTTTTTCTGAATTCTATAAAAGGCGACCATTCTCCGTATAAGTCATTGAAATGCGACTAAGATTTTTAGGTTAGACTCCTGCTTGTTTCTTTTTCCGTGAATCAACGAAGCATTTAGTCGGCGAACACGACGGCGTTACGTGGAACAAGCCCCTTCTGATCACCCATCGAGCACAGCAGCCATCTTTCATCCACCTCCACCACAAGCGCCAGATCTTGATCTTTGTTGAAGCTCAGGTGACCATTTTCTTTACCCAGGTGGTGGCATATTGTTCGTACTCGTCTAAAATTGATCAAAAATGCTCATTAATCAATAGCAACGAGAACATGCAAATGAACGAAATAAAAGATATCACATAATACTCATTTACTTGAGTTATAAGCAGATATCACGAGCCGCAAGGAAAAACATGTGCGAACTTAGTGGTACCTGATAGTACAGTATACAGTATGTCTCGCATAATGGATTTTGCGCCCAATGGACTCGGACTATTATAAATTTCAAAAGTACACGAAAAGTTACTGTCGCATAAAACCTTCACAGAAGTGTTCCGGCCAGCCACTATAATATTTCAAGCGGCTTCTTCATGTTCTTGACCGATTCAATAGTTTTCCTCTTTTTCGAGAATTTCTAACTACTGTGATTATTTTTACAGTACTCAATTAAAGGTTCATCACAGAATAATTAAAGGAATTTCCATAAAGATCTAGAACGGATTGAATATTTCTGATTGCTTAAAATTACTAATTGAAGAAAACTTTTCAAGAATCAGTAATCCACCAGCCGTTCTACATACAGTATTATAGCAGATCATTACTCGGTTAGTAGACTTCGAGAAAAAGTCCTGAGGATCCCACGAGAAAGGATGAAGCTGATTCACCGAGGAGCCACTGTGGCAGTCTTTGATCTTCCAATTTTGAAGATCCAAATGCTTAAGATTTTGCGTAACAGGGCAAGTTACACTAAAAATCGCTCGTGAATCAATCGCATTAAAATGAAAGTTGAAATTCGGAAATTATAGAAAACTATTCAACATTTTTGCAGAAAAACAGAGCATATAAAAAATAAATACTGCACAAAAAAACGATAGATGCGTGAGCCATAGTTCTTTTTCATTAGAATTAAAGAAGATAATAAAAACCGAAGAATGTTGTTCACCTCATTCCGCTGAAACTGTTTTCTCCATTGGCGTTGTCGTCCACTGAAAGTTTCGGTTTGCTTCGAATCGGCGAACCACACAGCGTTCCCGACGGATTTGCTCTGTGGGTTTCGCTTACAGAAATTGGCTTTGGTGGGATAGTCAGCGGAGGTTTCCAGTTCTTATTGGCTCCTTTGGATTGAGTCGGAGGGCCTGTCCATCTTGTGAACGGTCTTCCATTCGCCTATTGGGAAATTGTCAATTTTAAAAAATTGAGAAATTTTTCTCGCTACACATGAACAGAGTTGATAATGAAAATTAGTTTAATCAGAAATACAGGGTCTCTGAACAACGCGACATTACCGTAAATCTCCATTAATGAATAATAATACCGCACGAAATATCGAAATAATAAGTACACAGAAAAATGCTTTTTTCTCTTGGTGAAACCTAAGTCGGATAAATGTATGCTCGATATGACTAGCAGGTATAAAAATAATTTCTCGAGCAGAAAAAGTGAAAAAATGAGCCCTTTTAAACCTAGAAAAAGGGATTACAATTGTGACGGGCAATGATATCTACAAATTTATTCATATAAAAAAAATTCTATTGCATCGGATGAAGGAAAATCGATCACAAGGTTGAAGATTGAAAACTGATTTTTTGGAGGCAACATATTCGAGAATCTTTAGAAATGCGATGTTACTTTCCTTCTTATAGCAGACAAATTGTTTGCTACAAGATAACATCCAAACATGACCTAATTTTTTTTTTCCAAAACCCTTCCCCACATGCATCGGAAAGGATGACAGATAGTAAATGGCTTTCTACGATTAAATCACGCATAAGACGCATTAAATCTCGAGCAAAAAAAAAAAGAGGAACGAAGATTACCTTAGCATTAGCAACTCCGCTTCCAGCAGAAGAAGAACTCCGCGCAGAACTCGAACTCGTATCCATGGGACTGAAGCAGCTTTGTTCGCTTTCCGGCGTCATAACAGGAAGTTGATGCATCTCAACCTCTGGTTTCTTCGCCGGCGTGGCTTTCTGGGGAGCACTTTTCGGCCTCAGGCCAGAGAGCGGCACGGGAAAGGTCTTCGGCATGACCGCAGGCTTCGCTGGGGGTTCTGGCTTCTTAGCAGCGGACGCCGAGGGCAAGGGTTTGGCACCCGTCGGTGAAACCTTTTGCACAGGTCGCGGAATTTTCGATGGCAACGGCGACAACGGTTTCTTGTTGCCGGATAATAACTCCCATTTTCTCCGCAGACGACTAAATTTGACGCTTTCCTGCGAATAAACATGGATCAAAATTGTTCAATCTCGTATTTCCCTTCGAAGTACGCAAACTGGAATTGAAAGATTTCACTTGAAACCTATTTCATAGCTTCGTAAACCGGCGATAAACAGCTCAACATACATTTTTTGGGTTTCAGAAAAAAGTGTGTATGCGTAATTAACATCAACGATACTCCAGACTTGAATGCGCTTTCGTGTGAATGATTGCTAATAATTAAATTATTTCAATTTCCACCATTATATACCTCTCCAAAAGATAAAATGCTCAACCCCACCCGAAATATGCGGGGGAAAAACTACAAACTGAACTACCTGCACGCCGAGAGATCCTCATGGTAATCAATTCGGAAATCAGAAATACCGTCACAAAAAAGGAGTCAACGATAGCAAAAACTCGCAATTGAAGCAACTTTTTTTTAAATCTTTCTGATGTGTCCGCATTTTCTTTGTTTCCGTTTTTACAAGAATCACAGAGCTCTCATCTAAATTTTACAATGGTCAGTAGGTCCCCTTCAAAATTGATGCGAGACTTGTCTGACGCTCCGAAATACCAGAAGAAACAAAGAAGTGTCCGAAACACCTTGTGCTACTAGCTACTCGATCGGAAGTTCTCACATTTTTCAAAGCTATGAAATAAAAAGCGCATTTGCGGACATACCTGTGATCTTTTGTTGCCATTCTTGTCGCTGCCGTCGACATCTTTTATCTGCGGCGCAGGCCCGGGAATCTCCAAATCCTCGTCATCCAACGCCAACTGATCCAGAGCTTGCAACAACTTGGATCCCAACTGGACGCCAGACCAGCGTTTCTTCACCCCAGCTGCAAAATCCGTGACAGTGTTCGTGTTGTCCATGGAGGATCGTGTGCGGACCATCCCGCGCATGTGTTGGTCTGCCTCGGGCTTGTCGCTCTGCGTCGCTCCAACGCCGCTGTCAAGGAAGTAGTCCTGCGAATGCGCTTTCCGCATTGCCCCGCGTCGATCCTCCGCACTGTCCTGTGCGTCCAGACGATCAGCACTCATGTGGTGCTTCATCTTCTCTTCCATGAACTGTTCAAATAAAAATTAAAAAATACAGTGAGATCTCGGCATACGGACGATTTGACTTAGGGACACTTGAGACTTTAAAAAATATGCCCGGAAATCTGGACAATTTCTCGACACACGGACACTTTTCCAACATTTCTAGAAAAATGGAAGTTTTTTTTTTTTTATACCGTATCTTTTGATTGAGCTATTCATATTCACAAAAGTTGAGAAAGAATTCCATTATACATTCACTCAAATTTATAATGAAGAGGAGTTCAATTTAGTACTTCTTTTTTGGAGCATTCTCCATCATCGGAGCACATCATATCAAGACATGTACAGTAGTTATCTTCGCTATTTGGGGTCCTTTTGATAACGTAAGATCAGATTCTGCGTGGTTTCCTTCTGCAAAGTTATATTCTGTATCTTTCCGTTCAGGAACAAATTAAATACAATTTTTTAAAGATTTATTCCTTATTTTTGATGAATTTGAGAAGCAATCAAAAAAGGTTCCATTGAATTCTGCGTGAAAACGTGAAATGACATGCGGACGTTCCGACCAAGGTTCAAGCACCAATTACGTCCGCATCTCGGGGCCTCACTGCGGAAGCAAAAATTCGATTTCCGAAGAGCGCCAATAACTTCATAACACAGCGAAATCTTATCTCGCTAATTTTTTCAGCGCGTTTATGCAAATGAAAGACGCATTGTTACGACAGCAAACAAATTGGCTGAATAAATCGGCCGTCTTTTTGATTTCCAGGTCAATCGTACGAATGCTTGTGACGAACACAACATAAAAAAAACTGTACAGTAGTGCAATCATATCCAGTGATTCAGTTGAACCAAGACCACCAACTTCAGTTTAAACCTTCTAGAAAATACTAATTGCGATATCAAAATGATTTTTCTTCTTTGATCAACGCATTACGAAGGCTAATGAATTTTACCGAAAAAATGAGTGATCGTGATAATACGTCAAGTCAGCCTTGAAATATTACTTGTCTAGAATAACATTAAAAACAAATTAAAATACTGTATTCGTTTGATTAAACCACTCAAAAGTTGCTCTAAAGCAGGATCGTAAAATATTACTTCTTTATGGGCCGAGAAGCAGCCCGAGTTGAAAAAAACACGGTCAACCGAAAATCCCGGTGAAGTCCACGAGAAGTTAAATTCATCTGCAAACAATAACATCTTGTTTCAGAGCCTCAATTCGATTCTTGAGTCAAAAAAGCTTTTGAAAGGCTTCGTACACGAACCTTAGTTCCAAGAAGGTGGAAAATCTGGAAAGAGATACCCCCAGAATGGACAAGATGATGGCCAATTAGTCATTTGTGGAGGGGTCTCCATTTTAACTTAATCTCTGTAAATTTAATGTTTTCTACAACATTATAGAGTTACTTGTTTTAATGACCCAAGCGACTCGCGGATAGGTAAAGAACAATGGAGAGCCGCAAACGGCGCCGTGACTCATCTAGATCCCATAGAGGAAAAGTGCATAAAAGACCGAGAACCGATGTATTTTTGGCTGCTGTGAACGATGTCAGGAAATCAGGGAAGCCGTTGGACACTGACAGTATCTTCGATGCAATCCTGATCAGAAGTTTCTCCTTGTGGCAAGATAAATACCAGGGAATGAGGGAAGAGCTCACTGCACTGTCAAAGACGGCAGAACGGCTCTGGGAGTCAACTGCCAAATTCATGGACAACTTTTACTGGATCCAGACAGCACAACAAGTCGGCGTTTTCAAGGAAATGTCTCGCGTGAGGCAGTCCGAAGAAGAGCTTCGTTCCGAGCCACCGAAAAGGTTACAGTGTGAATTGCTCAGTGCTCTGCAGACCGAGCTCGAGGTTCGACTCGAGTCGACGGATAATCCAAAAAAGCAGCAGCAGCATCAAGCAAAGCACGGCGGTACTTCTGACCACGTGTATGATGATGCCAAGGCCGCCATCAAGTCTTTCTTGGTTCAGTCTTTGACAGGTGCCATACAGAATGTCAAGAACCTCAGTCCTGCCGAGGGTGAATGGATCCGAAAGCAACTTCTGGAACATTCAGCACAGACTTTACTCAAACCAGAAGCAGGTTAGGAAACGACAACTTCGTTTTGAGCTGCAATATCCTTAAGCATAGTCCAAGATTCCATAAAACCCTAGATGTCGCCCCTATGCATTTCTTCATTTGTTGCTTGCCATTGTTTCATATCCCCGATCTATTGACTTACGCCTGATTTTTTTTTCATTCTGAAATTTGAATAAAAACGTACCCCCTTCCCATTTTAAGTGATTAAATAGAGGATGGAAAAAATTCTGACGATTCTCTTGATTTCTCAATGCTCTCAAGAGCTAAAGAAAGATACCCTCACTCATCATCGATTCTTAAAGGATTCCTTTCTTCTTTTACATGAAAAAGTTGCTATCGAGGGTTTTTTAATCTTTTTCATTTCGGGTTTTCCCTTTTTAATGTTCTCCTGTTACCCAAGTCTCAACTATTGCCAATAAGCACCGGTCTCCTTTAAACGCCGGGAAAAAGTCCACTACTTTTACTAAAAGCCAGGGGAGTTTATCAGAGAACATACGGTTTATAATAGATTTTATGGGCTAGAATGCATATTCGATCGAGTATAAGATAAAGCAATGAACTTCCAATACTTGAATGCAAGTATGAGATTCGCGGAAATTTTCCAGAAGAACCAAGTGACCAACACGACTCCGAAGTAGTAAAAATGGCGGCGGAAACTCCCGAGAAGAAAACTTCCGAATCTGAAAGCAAGAATACACTATCATCACCAGAAGGGGTTGAACCATTGGACACAGAAGAACACGGTTCACCAAACCTGCCTTCAAGGAATTCTAAGAGGTCGAAGACTTCCATCCCTGAAGTTGATCCAAAAATTAAAACTGATTCAACGGTTTCCATCTCCTCTAAAACCGGTCACGACTCAGGTTCAGGTCAGTTCAGTTTGATGAAAAATAACTTTTTTTTTCAGAGATCGTCCATGAAGAAAAGAGCTCTTATCCTTATGTTATTTTAACTTGAAAAGAAAAACCTTCGTCCTCAACTTATTCAGAGGAAGGAAACAGACGGTAGTATCGAGATTAGGGATTCAGGCGACATTTATCTAACATTCCTGAAGGGGTTGCAGCGAAAGGAACAAAACTTCCGAGTGAAACGCTGTATGACACATGGCTACACCCTCTTTTTCAGAGTCTGAAAGCTTCCAGCTGACTTCTATCGAAAGTCCCGACTCATACGATCCTCAACGTCGTCTAATCAGACCAGAATCTACCTCCTCAAATCGCGCCACTAAGGCTTGCTCGTCGTGCCTCAGCAACCCATCCCCCTACAACAGCATTTTCTCGAACAAGGCATTATCATCTGCACCCAGTCGTACGGAGAAAACAAAAGTGAATCCAACCCCGGCATACGGTCAATCGTTGCGCGAAGCAATGGCCGCCTGCGAGCCGTGCAAGAAGTTCTTCGCAGATCCAGAAGACACTCTGAATGAAGCCAATCAAGAAGATTTCCCTCAGAAGAAATCGTCTCCCAAGGCATTCGTGTTATACGAGCTGGACCCAGAATGGAGCCCAGAGGAGAGGTTGAAAGTGATCGCGGCCCTCAAAGAATTCGACTCAGAAACGCTCTTGAGTTTCTACCCGCGCAAGTGTCAAGGCGTTGAACCATACTTGAGCATTGTCAAGGGCGAATTGTGCTCATCCATGGTTGGATACAAGCGCACAGCAGCTGAAACTGGTACACCTACGGTAGTCATGAGCCCGAGTTGCCTCAAGCCTGACACAGCGACTCACGAGCTGGTCCATGCCGTGGCATTCTACCACGAAGAGGCAGCCAATGACCCACTCAAAGATATCATTCACATTGGGTATCCCGACAAGCTGTGTGAACAACACGAATAATTTCCTGACGCTTGCATCGTCGAAATTCCCCAGAACCCCAGACTCCATGATTTATGTGTGCCTCTAGTACAAATACTGTCTCGTATCCTGTTACAATCGTTAAGCTCTTATTATACGTAGTTTGAAAACGTCCGATTCGATAAAAAAAATCTTATTTAAACGTGTTTTTTTATTTTACAGAAGGCGACTGATGCTGAATAATGATACAAAGCAACGGAGAGTATTGTCATAAATTATGCAATTACAGAACATATTTTTTGGGGGTCGCGAATATCAAGATTGACATTTTTGGGAGCGGTATGCTTGATGATTTTCTGACCAACAATCGAATCTTCACTCACCAAGCTTGAAAGAGGGAGGAAGAACAATCTATCCCGGAGAAGCCGAAAGATTCCCGTAATACAGTGAACTGTCATTCAATAGTACTGTATATGTCACGTAATTTCCACAACTAAATTCCAAATCTGACCATGTTTCAGGGAGATGATGTTCGGATCGTGGCAGGTTATTGGTGCTACTTTCGTGAAGGCCAAAATGAGCTGTAAGTTGACCGAGTAGGGTTTTAATTGAAGCAGATCTTAGACGAATGATCGTAGGCTTGCTGTAAGCTGTGCTATCGATCCCGCAGTGATTTATTTAAAATTACTGACATTCTTGAAACAACCCTTGAACAAGATCAAACTTATACATACACGTCTAACCAAAGTTATACGTCCCAACTCCCAACATACGGTGATTTGAAGTGGGTAATGAACTACCTTCTTAGTACGAGCATAACTGCAATTTACTTGGTCATCTAAAGAAATCTAATTCATAAATCTGTCACGAGAAAAAGGTTACAGCGTATATTAATGTCTCTTTACAATTCATCAGCATGTCTTTTTTCGACTTCTGAAGTATCATTCGGAAATCTGACGGACGGAGAGGGCGCATAAAGTGCCTCCAGCAAAAGGTTTCAAAGCCATACCTGTGGTTTTTTATTCCACTCAAAATTAATGATGAAGATTTCTTCCGAAGCGCTAACCTGGAAGCTCGAATGAAGTCTTCTGTATTCATATAGCAAGTCGAATCTGAAACTTTGCGTAGACAGTGGGGCAAGCAACGACAGCATCTCGTCAAAAAGACCACGACTCCAAGAATTGGCACCGTACAGGAACGCGTGCGGGTGGAAGTGCTTTTGAATGACACTTTCTCTCGTTCTTAGATAGCAAAGCCACGATCTCAGCGATTGAATGCTGCAGAAAGAATTTTTTGTCATGCAATCCATTCTTGAATTCGTTTTCCAAAAATTCAATGATCACTCACTTCAAGAGGCCGCAGATAAATGCATTGAACTTCAGGGGACCCTCATTCAAGTGCTCCTCAGCATTCACTTTTGTGACTAGATCATTTAAAGCCTTCGTCGTCGATCCTGCAAAAAGAATGGAAACTTCTACGACTGTCACTTCCAAGTAGGAAATAAGTCAGCTCTCACCGAGTTGCGACGAAACTTCGACAACCTTCCACAACGAATTTGGGACAGAGCCAAACAAAGTTTGGATTTGGGGAAGAAGTCCATCGCTGAGAGCGGCATAAATTGTAGGACATAGGCAATCTAATGCCCAGTCAGAGATGCGACGCTCTGCAGGTGAAGCACTCGGCAACGCGCCGCCGATACAGACATCGTTCGACTTCTCGCCTTCTCGGTTGTTAATTGAAACTGCTTGCCGAACTATTTTACGGAGTTCCAGCACAGCTGATGCGAGATTATCCACTAGATCTGGGGAAGAATGGTTAAAATGCGAATGTGTTATACATATGTTGTAACGAACTTTCTATACAGAGCAAATCCCGACAATTGCGATCATCTTCATGAAAGAAAATACAGGTGCTCTCTCCACAACGAAATTCAAGGGACCAGAAAAAATTCGGAGTAGAAAATTCTTAAACCATGGTGAGACAGCCCCTCACTCAATAGAAAAAAAAATCGTCATGCGAAAATCGTTGAGACAGAATTGTTGTAGACGGAGTCCACTTGGATTCTCCTACACCAAAAGGACCTGCTAAGAATGCGTCTTATATACAACTCTCTCACACAGAAGTTCTTCATGACGATTTATTTTTTTGACAAAAATGTTCTTTACGGCGGTGCCTACATCAAATTCATTTTACTTGTTTGAGACCAATGAACAAACGCATTTCTCGCACCTTGCTTATGGTTGAAGTCCAAAGTAGGAGAAAGAGCAGCTCGGGCGCACTTCAATGGGGTGGTAGGCAAAGAAGCTGAAGAAACTGCTGCCCCAGCGCTCCAAAGAGTCGGCACATCCGCACAACATCCTCCACAATCCTTCGAACAAAATTGTGTGGAACTTACATTTCGTAAAGCTGATCTCTGCAGGAATGCGCAAATAATTCGTTCCCGGCAGTCCTTGTAGAAAATATTTGCAAGAAAAACTGACAGTTGTTATTCATCGTAGCATTTCGTAAAATAATTAACTTTTTACACCTAAAAAGTAAAAAGCGTATAAATATTTCGCAAAAATGGACAATTTTATTTAATTTCTAATGAACTTCATGAGCTGATGTTGAAATAAACACTCAATTATCACAAAACACGCTGCTGCTTTTCAACGATGTATCAGAAGCGATTTAACTTGAATGATGTACAGTATTTGAACATTCAAATTTCTTTGAATCGATAATTTTACGTAATTAAGACATATTTTTTCAAGTTACCTCTTCATATGAAAATAAAATCCATTTCATGAGATCATTGGCAAAATCAATTTTTCTCGAATGGCAAGATTCAAAATTTGAACTTACAAAACACCAATCACGTTCGTCCTCTGCTATCTGTTCCACATCAGCATCTTCCAATTCAGCAAAGCTAACACTCTTCCGATGCCTCAACACACCTCCGCAAGGACACTGAGTCATTTGTCTTTCTCCCACTTTGCCGGCGCACATTTCATCAATAATTTGCGCGCAAGAAAACTTTCCGTCGAACAAATTTCCAGCCGAACGATGGAACCGCTTTCTAGCTCCCAGGTCCGGCATTGCCAAGCTGCTTCTGGCTGAGATCATGTCAGAAACGTGGCTACGCAACTCGAGCGCATCCGGTCGCCGAGGTTCTTCCGAAATGGTACACGCACACGAGGACTCACTCGGTGGTCCAAGCACCGCGGACGATTCATCCTCGTCATTTTCGCCGGCTGAATCGTCGTATATATAGCTCTCGCGATGCTTTTTACGGCGAGCTGCAACCGAAAGCTTATTCTGATTCTCCGCAGACCTACTTCGAAGGTTTCGAAGCACTCGACTGGCAGGGCTAGAACACGGAGGTGTTCTTCGCTTCACGCTGCTTTGAGACGTTGCAGTGATTGTTTCGGAAGTAGATGTTGCGCTGCGGTCGTCGCACGATGAGCTCGTTTTCCTCAAGATACTCTTCGGCTGTACTTGACCACTGCAAACAAAAACTTGCGAATATATTGATGGCACACGAAATGACGAGAATTCGAACAAAATCCAAAGCGAGACAAATTCTAGAGAAATGCACGAGGAACCTCGTCACCACTTTTAAAATTCTACGATACATTTGATTGTCCAGGAGAGCACCTGTATTTTCTTTCATGAAGATGATCGCAATTGTCGGGATTTGCTCTGTATAGAAAGTTCGTTACAACATATGTATAACACATTCGCATTTTAAAGAAACCCCCCCCCCCCCCCCCCCCCCCCATAATATTTAAATCTGATCTCGAGTCTCCGATTCTCGCTAGAATTCAAGCTTCACGACAAAAAAGATCGGTGAAACTATCCTGAATGCAAGGTACAATAGTACAAACGACAATTCCAATAGCGCACACGTAGATCAAGGTGATTACTCATACAGGGATCAAAGTTTTCGACAGTTCAGGGTTAGAATTCAGACCAGTGGAGCATGTCAATGACAATGAAACATGTGACACGACAGGATTAGACTATACGTCGTCTCGAATGAATGAGAACATGGGGAATGCAGTAGATACACAATACTGTAGCATTTTTGGAGGGAAAATAATGATGCAACACACACACACAAAAATTAGGAAAACGATTATTTTTACGCGGGCTACAGGGAGATCCTTTGAACTCAAATCATGAAATGAATCCAAAATAAAACAATGAAGTTTCAGCCTAACACATCATCTAGCACAACTCAGAACACACTCGAAGCATTCCGGCAAACACAAACCTATTGCGACACGCTTGCTCATGAGATCCACTGTGACGATCATGACAAGCGTGGATAAGCTCTGTCTGTTCCAATAGAAAAGGCTTGCGCAGCAAAAGCGCAGGATCGCAACTCCGCGGCCGTGGTTTGCGAAACTTGATCTCCGGTTCAAAAGACGGCTCCTTTTTTTGCACTGATTTTGCTTCAACCACTGATCCGCGTTTTCCAATCAGTCGCCGCACTCCATCCGGAAGCAAGGTTTGCAATGAATCCCAGTCCTTTATGTGAGATAGACTCGATTCCTGAAGTCTCAATATATCGTCGGTAGACAGAGGTCTAGGTTCGGAATTACTCGCTGCATTTGCGGGCGGCACATGTTTCTGAACCTGTCGCACAAATAGAGACCACTTAAGTGACCTAACGCCAAGCACACGAGACAAAAGCGATCGTCAATTCACTGCCACTGAAGACAAACCTCTTGCGGAAGTTTAGATGGATCAACCACGGAATTGTCGAAACTGCCAGACGCTTTACGCGGACATAAATAAACATCTGCATCAAACTTCCGAGATGACTGGCCAAGAAAGGTAAGGTCAGGCAAGGCGTAGTTCGGATAGCACACCAAAATTGATGCCCTTTCGCGCTTTCGTTCTCGTCCACGCTTCAAGCTGTCCTCCGAGAACGGCTGCGTCAATCCAACTGACGTGGCCTCTGATGAAGTTGGAGAACCTGACGTTTGCATGCCTTTGGAATGCTTCTTGGACTCGTTCGTTTCAGTCAGCAACAACGAGCTAACATTCACTGTGCTGCTCTGACTATCGTTGGATCCGCATCGAATCTGCCACGGAAATTTAAATTTTACGGAATAAGGATACAACAATTTACACGCAGTTGAATCTCACCAGTTTTGGGTCCGTGGGGATATCAGGGGCACGCGCACCAGACCGACTAGACAAATTTGACTTGGCGGAACAGAACTCCTCATTCGTCGAGCCACCGCTGCCGTTCTGAGTTGCTAAGGCTTCTTCACCTTCTTCCGTGATTGAATCGACTAATGAAGCATTCTCATTCGTAGATCGGTTCCCGTCTAAACGAGACGACAGTAGTCTGTTTCTCAGGAACAACTGCGCCAAAGAACGCCGACGGAACAGAGTTTCACTCGGAACTTGATTTCTCGACGAGGCTTTATATATCGGAGCAGTGCGCGTATCATTCAGAACGTTTAAACTTCTACGCATCAAATCGGGCATGCTGAAGCTCCGACCACAGTTTGAATTGACGCCTTCGGTGTTGCATTTCAGCAGTTTTATCTGGGACCACGTGTACTGGGCTCCGGTGAGTGCGGTGGCGGTAGATTGCGTCATTTTCACCGAGTCCTTGCCCAGGCTTTCCGTCCATGATGGGCCGGTAGTGCTCGCCCTACTTCCGTCTAAAATAGAAAACAGATTCCTTTCACCGAAATTCGAATGCAGTATAATATTCCCCTTTCATTAATTACACTATTCGAATTCGACGATAACTGAACAAGGCAGGTTTCACTCATCCGGTTCGACCGATCACCGTTGATCGAAATACGCGCGTGGCCAGCCCGGGTGTACTTTCAAATGCAAAATATTCTTTGTTCGTAGAACAAAAATTAAAACAATGTTTAGGGAAACTCGTTACCTGAATCAACAGCGAAAAACGAGATCAGACTTAACCAAACCGAAGATGGCTTTAATTCGCCAAAGAATCTGGACCTATCGATTATATCAAATAGAACACCGACCAAAAATTCAGCTTCTGCGCGAGAAAAAGTTAACGTAAGATAAATCGAAAATTTAGAGAAGAATACTGTTTTTACATTACCAAAACAAAAGTACAGTACGAAGAATTTTTCCGCTAACCTTGACTGCCGTCGGGCGTAGAAACCTCGTGAGTTGTCGTTGTATAACTGCCTTCGAAGGCGAGCGTATAATTCGTCTTGATATCCGCCGTAGTCCACGTCAATTCGAGGTCTAAATCGTCGAGGTCTTCTTCTCTCGCAGTTAGAAAAGTGCCGTCTTCCTGCTCACATTTAGAACTGGCGTCGTGCACGTCCAGGCTGTCTACACTGAACACCCCGATGCTGACGTTGCTCACCTCATCCTCCTCTTCTCGTGTGGGCGAAAAAAGCGGTGTTGATCCACACAGGCTCGAAGCGCCGACTGAACTCTGATAATCCAATAAAGAGTTTCGTTAGAAAGACTTCGGCATTACCAGCAGTAAAAGTTGACCCAATAAAAGCCGCCATGCACTCGGCGACGTTTTACAACAAATGAATCACACGTAATCACAACACCACAAATCCCAGGTCGTACCCTTACGCTACTTTTCGGGCCGAGCCACACAAGTTCACGTGCACCTCATGCAAAAGTGACATCTGTAGGCGGTTTGGCCGCCCCTCCGCCTCTATTAGCGTCTCAGCGAACATTCATGACACTCCCTATCCGCAAATCTATCATAAGGGATTGCCTAACACGAATACTGCATACAATACTCTACATGCTTGATTGAATTAATTTCTTGAACTCTAAAAAAAAAGTACTACAATAAAAATTTTTCAGATTAAACTAGCGCTTAAAAACATTTGGGATATTATCAGTAGAAGATGATCAAAGAAAAACGCCGAATAATTAATACTGTACATCATAAAATGTAGGTCAGTTTTTTTTGCTGTTGTTCAACATTGATTTTACGCCCAGCTTCGATTTTATCTCCAGTGGAAAAGGATTTCCATGCGTTGATATGGAGCACATTGAAAATGTAAACCCTTTGAGAAGCGGTGTTCCCAATAAAAATCCACAACAGATATTTTCAGAAAAATAAATAAAGCAGGGCTCATTTTCCAATGTACAGTATACGGTATACGTGGAAAGCAAAACGCTAACTCGATACTCAATCGATCTTCACGTCAACATCATGAGTCACCCAATGTAACAATAGTGTTTTGAAGGCTATATACAGTACTGCTATACGGTTGGTTGGGAACACATAACCGCGCGCAATCACCGAGTGGTCCAGTCAAGGGCAACACGCATGCAGTTGAGAAGGAACACTGGAGAAGGTACTACAGTACAGCAATGAGAAAGAGAAAATAAGGTCTCCATTTATATGAGACTGCTCGCTTGCCCTAATAAGTCACACCTCGCTATTCAAAAGTACTGTACTGTATTTAAAGCCAATCACGCACAGCCCAACACCCACGCAATCATGCTTTCTTAGATATAAATTCTTCATAGAAATAAATGTTTTTTTTACTACACCCGATAAAATGACACTGCATTAAAGGACATCCTAGAAAATGCTTGTACAGCACTCGATTTCGCGCAAGCATCCAAATTTTTAGGAGAGTTCGGATTTCCGCTGGTCTATTTTACTGGGCCTAAAGGTGATTTAAGCTTCTTGTCGTTATATTTAAAATGAAAGAAGGAAACACGAGTTTAATTTAAACCTTAAGGAACTTTCCGCGATATTTGAGAATGAATCAATACTTTTTCCAGTTCAGAGGATCAGAACAAACCTTAAAAAGAGGGGCTTGGCATCAAATTATTCTCGATACTTTTCTGTTCCACCCTTGCATCCGTTTTTTTTCTGCATCTTCCAGCAAAAATGTGGTACAGTATAATGGCGCGGAAATATGACCCATTGTAATCAGTTGGAAGAAAATGTGTCACTCGGAACTTCGTTAAACAAAGAAGGCCTATAGAGCCAGTGCTGCCCAACTCAGACGTGGCGAAAAGCAAGATTGACACTTTTTTTTTTTTTTTGGCGACCAAGGGCCACATTGGAGAGGTAGAGAGTCTTTGTGGGCCACAATAGACAATAATTTCTGAGGTTCCAAAGTTTCTCCCTTCATTAAATGAAAAGTTTCAAATTCAATCCAGTGCTATGCATTAATTGAAACACAAGCACATTAGAGCCTTATAGCATTTTCGAAGGGTGCAGCAAAATTTTGAATTTTTAAATTCATCTTCCAATGTATATTTAATAGTGGGAGCAGACACCTTGAAAATAATAGGGAAGGGACCGCGAGTCAGAGGAAGAGACTCTGTGGGCCAGATCCGGTCCGCGGGCCGTGTGTTGGACAGCACTGGCCTAGACTAGTGTTCCCAAACCTTTTTGGGCCCACAGACGGGCAAAGCTCCAAAAAAATTTTGCGAACTGGAAAATTTCCAATAGATTTTCTGCAGATCAAAGAAGTGTCATAAAATGTTTGCAGACTAAGAAGTTTTGTTTGAAAGACTTCATGGGATGTATTTAAAAAGTTTCTGTTTTCTTGTTTCAAAAATTAAGTCAAGAATCAATGAAGCAGCTAAAGTGGAATGTCTTGAAAAAATTAAAAAGGCGGGCTTGATGAATCTTTTCTCAGAAGGAAAAATTAAAATAATTTATTTAAGCAGGTGAAAATTTGTCCGAAGTGTCATTTGGAGAAAAGCCAACTTTTTTTTATCAGATAAATGAAACTGCCTTTGTTGTTCCAAAATTTCAAATAAAGATAACAGCCTTTCTTGCTACATTCGATGAATCTATCATGCTGAAGAAAATTTCCTGCAGACTAGCAAAAATCTTCTGTGGACCAGTGCCGATCTGCAGAATTTTTTTGCCGGTCCGCAGTAAATTTTCTGCAGCACAAAAAGTTCAGAAAAGTAGCAATGAAGTCTGCTGCCTTTATCGGAGATCTGGGAAAAACAATAGTCGTTGAAATTATCTGAAAAAAGTAGAAGTTGGCTTTTCTTCTAATTACTGTTCAGACAAATTTTCACAAGCTGAAAAAAATTTTCAATTTTCGTTAGTCTGAGAAACCTTTCTTCGAGCCTACATTTCTAATTTTTTGAAAACATTCCACTATACACCGGCTTTACTGGATCTTATTTTTTTTCAAAAATAAAGCAGAAACTTTTTAAATGCCCAACAGAGTCTTACAAGGAAAACGTTAGAGTCTGCAAAAATTCTACAAAACTTTGCCAGTTCGCAGAAAATTTTTGGGAAATTTGCCAGTCTGCAAATAATTTTATGGCGATTTGTCGGTCCGCGGGTCCAAAATAGGTTGGAGAACACTGGTCCAGATCAAACGTCATTTTCTCAATTCTGGGTGATGAAACACGACAAAAAAAATAATTCGCAAAATTCCAAATTTGTCGGGCATCACTCAATGAAGGTAACACTGATCGAATGCAAAGGACATCACACACAGCCACAAAAAGTAAAAAAAATAAATGGAGACGAGAGTTTTGCTACCTGGAAAATGGCACGATTATCGGAGTCGACCAGTCCCCACTCTTGCGCCGCCATCAGCGACTGTGTGATGGACGCGAACGTCTCCCCGCCAGCTCCAAGCACATCCGACTGATACAGAGAGACACACAAGCCAGCAACGGGGACCCACGAGAGAGAGAGAGAGAAGTCAAGAAGAAAGTGTACAGAGTCTCGTCACCACCGTGTTCATGAGAGATAAGGCCAAACAGACGAAGGACCACAACAAACACAAGCTGAACTGGTTCACCCGAATATACTGTATACGCACACAATATTCCACCACAAAACGAACACCATGTATATGCCACCATCAGACTCACGATAAACAACGCACGCAAAACCAACACCAATGATTTCATTGTTCGCTTTCTTCAGTTAAATTTTAGATCTTTCTCGTCGTTCAAAACAGCCATATTCCATTTTTCATACTTCCGAATGAGATACTATATAACACATCAAATCATTCTAGTATCATACAGCGAAATTAATGGAAAAATGACTTACCACTAACCTGACTCTCGTGACAAACCCCAACAATCCTGACCCAACTTCCTCAAAATATTCTTGACTTATACTGTACTAACAAGATTGAGCCCTCTTAAAACCACCTGATTAAAACCTCAACAATTCTATCCCAATCAACCCAAACCAAGATCTCCTTCAAAATTAAATCACATGAGTATAATCTCATAAACGAGTTTTTTAGAAAAAGTGATCAAATTTTCCATGACATAAACCAATAGAAATAGAGTCAACCCACTCCGACATAAGAAGCAGAAGCAAACATTTTTATCTCGTACGATGTTTGACACATTTACAAATTAGTACAGGAGTGGGAGCGTCACCTTCAAACACAGAACTACCCGAATTATGTTTATTTATACATATTCCTCCCCTGAATAAAACATTTTGGAATAATATACAGTACTGTTCTGTAATAATACAGTACTACACTATCTCATCGCTAAACATTTCACGCCATTTTTGTCACGGTTATTTCTCCTCAGAAGACCTACACGATTTTAAATCGACGAGTGGCAAAGCAATTCTTCTCCCGAAATATTTCAAGTAGAAGTACAGTACGTGAAGTTCGAGTTCTAGTTTAGGTAGTTAAGTTAGTACAGTATACGTTTCAAGTTTCATATTTTAAGTTGCATTTAAATTAACTGGTTTTTTTTAACAGTTCGCAACATATACGCCGTATGCAAGACATATGAATCCCCGTTTTCGCATAAATATTCCGGACAAAAGCCATTTTTTTCTGGGAATAAAGAGTTATTTATATGCGTCATAAATAATTACTGTACAGCATAAACTTTGACACATAAAATTTTTTGGACCTCTAAATAATAAAATTGCAAGAGCTATGAATTCGAAAAGGCTCAATTTGAACTTGAAATTATACCAGCATCGATTTTTTCGAATTTAGCCTCCCAATATTCTTAGTTTTTACGAGTCATCAGTCTTTGATGACGACAATGCAGAATGTGTTCGGCGTCCAACAAAATTTTTTTCTCCAAAAAGTTTCGGAAGAGAAAACGTGCGTGTGGTGCAAACAAACAAAAAATGTTTGCTAAATAGCGTGAACATGGGGGAATAATAAGACTCATCGTGAAAAACGGCGCTTACGCTTCTTATGCTGTACAGCCCTCTGTATAGTTCTCAAATGCTATGCATTTCACAACAAGTGCTAGAATGCTAGATTATTACTGACCTGCACACTTTCCTCGGGAAACTGCATGAAGCCATGAATGTCTTCGGCGGGGAAGACTTCGAAGTCGACAGCAGCACCGGTGAGATGAGGGCCATCCTCGTCGCATGCGTACATACTATCGTCGACGGGACACTTGACGCTCTGATTGATCGGATTCGTCGCCGTCGCCTTTCTTCTCGGCACTTCGAATCACAAAATATTTCCAGACGGAAAGAATTTAAGAGCATTACTACAACTAGGTTCGCAATTTATTGAAATGAAGGGTCAGGTGGCAATGCCGAGAGAAGGAAATTCTACAGCCCAGTTTCAGATTTTATCCAGCCTTTCTCTCTCTCTCTCTCTCTCTCTCTCTACAACGAAATGCAAGGGACCAGAAAAAAGCGTTGTTGAAATAATTTCGCTGAAGAGAACGAAATTATAATATGCAGAGAGAATACTATGGGGAAAAAATTGTTTTACAGACAAAGTCGCTGTAGAAAGAGAGTCCACCTGTATTGACTTTGATTAGACGGCGCTGTGAACGTCAAATATTTTTTTCTTTCCAAGATGAAAACACATATTTAACCTATATTGTTTCAGGGGTGGTTCTTGATGAACAAAGAAACCTGAACACAATCTGTAAATACTGTTTTTAGTCCAGAAGTATTTTCCTGCGATGAATGCTTCAAATAAAATACGTGGACGTTGAATATGACAACACCCTGAAAAAGTGAAAATGGTTTGACAAGACGGCGATGCATAAGCAAAATAGATTCATCTTCTCAAGACAGAAATGAATACTTCATTGTATTCGACCTGACAATTTTAAGGGTTTTAAGGGTTGGTTCAAGGGTTAAGGGTTGGTTGAAAAAAGTATACCTGATTAAAAGCGGAAAATACTGTCTTGAATTCACAGATGCTTCAATTCGCAATACTGTAAAATGGCTGCCAATCAGAAAAACACAAAAAATAAAGGGATGCTAGAGCTGCATTTTAGACGAACTCCTTGTTCAAAATACAGTAATTAATTTTTTGGTTGAACTTCCAGCTCTTATAAGTTCTTACACGCAGAAAAAATTATAATTCAATTCACTGATGCGCACAAAATGTCATTTAGAAGGGAGAAAAAAGATCCCCTTTTTATATAGCATTTGTTTACTGGAAAGCACGATGATGAATTTCATCCAAATAAATTTCAATAACATAATAAAGGAAAAATACTCACGATCATCAGGAGTTGACGGTACACTGGAATCGTGCACAACCCCACTCGTGGACAGACTCAAAAGCCCGACAGGCCGGAAACTACCGGAATTTCCAACAGATCCGTAGCCACACGGAGAATGCAAAGAACTGCGAAAAACACAATAAAAAAATCTCCATGGTAAATCAGAGCGTTCAATTTCAAAATGACACAGCGTTTTTTTGAAAACGAAGCAGAAAGGATGAGAGAATCTGAATTCAGTAGTCAGTTCTCATGTCATAAGCGACGGTGATGCGCCAGAATGTTCTGGATTTTTGAGGAATTATCTTCAAGGAATGACTTGAAAATGTTCCATTCTATGCTTCAAACATTTTTGTTTTTGCACCCTTAAAACTGAATGCGAGGAATGCTCCGCTCGTCGATGGCAAAAACTCATTTCCCCTCTGATTTCTCGCTAGCAAATTTCGGCCATGGATTAAAAAAAAAAGAAGGTATTTTGGAAAAAATAAAACCGTCGCAACGGATCACTAACATCGTCGAAAAATTACACAAGAAAATCAATCAAATCCCAATTTTGAAATATTCTAGTACAGTACAAAATAGGACGAAAAAATACGTCCTTGACTTTCACACAGTTGACGGGAAAATCTCACAAAAAAAATTGTTTTTTAAGGTCTAAAAATTCAAAATTCGCTTTTCTTTCCAAAAAAAGAAAAAAAGCGAATCTCACGACGCATTAACATCGAAAAAAAAAGAATCAGTCGTGTGAAGAAGTTCCCTTATTTATTCATTTTATTCGCAGTGCGTCGGGAAAATTAATTTAAATGGGAAGTCCACCATCCGAAAATATCATAAAATGAATACAGTAATATACTGTACAGTAATTGAAAATTAGTGTACGTAACACATAAATGATAGAATGACCAAGTTGTTCCAGACTCCGGAAAAGTCCTTCACCCGAATAGCGCGAATTTAAACGAAATGGATAATTATCGTCCGAATTCTCTCTCGATTTTCCGCCGTCAATCTTGAATAAATTACTCAACGAATTTACGTTAATCAAACATCCAAAAAATACGTATAGCTGCAAAAACGTTCAGTTCCAAATCACCATCAAGAATATCAAAATACCGCTTTAAATTCGCTTCATCCGCTTTAAAAAAAATGAGTATGCTGGCAACCAAAATTTTCCACTGAAATTCCGATTAAAAAAAAAAAGCGGCAATAAATTCCCACCCAAATCTAAATTCCGAAACCCGCGGTTCACCCTCCGAATTCAACCCAAAAAATCGTTCGCAGTCGAGTCCCTGACGCGGATAAAAGTCCATTATCCGGGGTATCACTCTGAATTCAACTAAATATGAAGAATAAAAAATTAAAAAAAAAAACCAACAAGCAAACACCTCCCACGAAGTATCAACGGAGCGATTCCGAGTGCGGGGCTGGACCAACCCGGGGAACGAAACATTTCGAAGCAACGTGGGGGGAAATTCGAAGCTGTCGCGCGCAGACGCACGCGCTCACGAACCGCAGCGATACACTGAGAACAGAGTCGCAGGTCGAAAAAAAAAACCAAAATAAAATAAGCAGCATGCGTAAAATATGTACCAACTGCGGGTCCACACTGAAAATTCCAACAACGACGAATAATTTCTGTCGTCATAGAAAAAAATAAAACAACTTTTTATTCGAATTTTTTATTATCTTAGATTCGATTATCTTTCAGATATTTGAGTTCGCATAGTTGCGGATTCGAAATGAAACGGAAGACAAGAGGGTTGGATCAGAAGTTATACCTATCTTGTGCTGGATATGGATGGAGATAAAACATCCTTTCCACTGAGTAACATGTGACGAAAGTCGTGAAAATTTGTCCCACGTTTTGCTCACTCTGAATGAATCGGATGAGGAAAGACAGATATTCGAAAAATGCACCACATCTTTCAGAAAATTATATCCTTCTGAAATCTGAAGCATTTAAATTCAGTTTAAAAAGTGCTACTAAAAATCAACAATAATGTAGATGCTTGCAAAGCGTATTTTCATCACAGATGTTTTTTTACAACGGTCCAGATCTGGAACCAACCACGTTGCAATGAAAACATTCAGACATTCGGAAATGTTTGAGCTAGTGATGCTTAATACGAAGGATCCCCTAAACTATCTGAAGTATCAATTTTCTAAAAAAAAGACGTTGCACAAGTCAGGCTTGAAATTGAGGAAAATCCCAAGCAAATGAACAAATACAGGCTGCAAGTCTTTTTATTGATTCAACAGTAGTTTAGAGTCTTTAGAAAACAACAACTTAGGGATAGAACATAGAAGTAACTTCATTTAAAAGAGAAAAACATGATTTACTATTCAAATAATTCTTGGTTTTTTTTTCAAGATTTTATCGGAATTTAAGGTTCTTATCAAACAGTATTTCCACGACGGGACTTGCAATGATCCCAAAGTGTCCATGAATTGTGACGATCAATATACGGTAATTCAAGCATCTTTGCGTTAAAAATGACGACCGCAAAATTTGGGGTCGAAGAATTCCAAGTTGAACAACTCAATTGACATATTTGAGACAATGGTTTAAAAACAGAAGTATGCATGAATGTGAAAGACCGGATAAAACAACAAATAATCATGGTACGCATAACAGCAAATGACTAGCATATTTGATTTTTTCGGACAACGGACTTCAATTGCAACCATTTTTTTCGGAAAGTGGACCCCTGCTACAGTTATCATATTGCATGAAAAAAAATATATTGCTTTATTTCCTCGCTGCAAACACGATTTTAGAATCGGATGAAAACTTCTTTGATATACCGTAACTTATTTTATTAAATACTGTATTGTACTGTATTCATGGTCTAGGAGTGTTATCGCAATTACTTCATTATGTTTTATGCAAGCATGGATTTCTCAAGTAAATTATTACATAATTTATAGAAAACATGTGCAAAGAATCCAAAATCACATTGCTCAGTTGACACTTTTCAGGGGTTCGGATCCAATCAGCAAATTCGCATATCATAATGCCACGCATTGTTCGATTATAAAGTAGTTGAACATTTCTGGACGAGAAACACTGGGGGACGGATTACGGTATTCACATAATTCGTGGGACAGTTTAATTTTATTCTTCAGTACATAATTTATTTGACACCAGTGCTGTTTGGCACATCAGGCAATATAAGCTGAAAAATTGCAAGAATTTCCAGACGAACCCACGCAAACACCTACTCTCCATCTCTTTCTCTCTCTCTCTCCAGCTTGACACACACGTATACAGTATTCGAGTCGTAGTGTGATACGCAACGTCGCGCCAACATGACGAGATCGACACTCATACCGCATTCTTTCCTTCGTTCTCCGTTTTCCTCCGTCTCTCCAAATCCGTTATATTTTATTATTTTTTATTATTGCTTTTTTTTCGGCCAACGTCGGGGTACATTTACCGTAACCTGCTTTCTCTTGGTTCGCTTCGTGAATCTAATGACTGCCTCAAGCGCAGAACATCCACATTTTCCTTCATTTTTATTTTTAACTTTTGGAATCCATGAAAAATGGTTACATTCCGGAAGAACGCCGACATTTTTGGATAATTTTATTTATAAATTCCAAGCGATAAACCGATCTTGTTGAGCTACTGCTTCACATAATGGGAAATAAAGTACGGTAGAACGATTTCAAAGCGAAAATATATCCTCAGCAGTTCCAGCTATATTCTAAAAATAAAAATAAAATTGAAGCTGAAATCGCTCCAAAATTATTTCAAATTTCAGGATTCCCCATTGACTTCGATTGGTACGACCGCTACGGCAGTCGGAAAATTACCTTCAGAAAATGTGCCCAAAATTGATCAACCGAAGGAATGATTGAATGAACGTTATACGGATTTTTTCAGTACTGCAGGACAAGTTGACAATTTTATTTCCACCTTGATAGTGAAAACATAAAATCAAGCACACAAAAAATTACGAAGGACAAAACGCGCTTTTTCCTTACTATTGGAGAAAAAGGGGGACTGGTCTGAATATAATGTCAAGTTCTTCGCCAATTATTATTTACCGTACATCCATTAACTTCGAACTGGCTTTGACTTTATTCGCTGAAAAATAAATCTAGGTAACACCGAATGTCCTCCGATAGAGCCGCCATAAAAAAAATAGGACAATTTTCACCACAACATCCGAATCATTTTAATTTATTCAGTGCCACGAGCCATCAATTAAATCATCAGCTTCTATCCTTTGAGAATGAATAACGGGAACTGATGAAGCCATACCGGAAGAATTATGAAGTACTCATCGTTGCCAACAAAAATAATTAATACGGTAATCACGAGCCGACAAAAAAATCAAGGCGTAACTCGAGGATTATTTCATCATTGGAATAAATAAATTTCGTAAAAAGTACACACTGTCGTCAAAAAATACGATGCACAAGCTGATGCGAGGGAAAGACTGTTACACCCCAGTGGTTACGAGCGAGATTATAGCGCAGGGAAATTACGATACTGGTAACACAACACCCAAAAAAATTGACCAAGACTTGTTTTTACCCAACATCACTAAAAATAAAGATGTAGCAATGATGAAATCAATACAAGATTAGACTGCAGAGAAGCGATTGTTTCTTTGAATTAAATAAATTTAAAATAAAAGTGAACAAGTGTGTTTTTTTTAAAGGCAACGGAAGACTAGAAACAATTAAGAAAATTCGAGCATTAAAAGCTTCAGGATTTTAGAAGAGAACCAGAAACATTTTGAAGTATTTACTGATAACACGGCACCAACAAAAAAGTTGACCAAGACTCGCTTTTATACAACCACGTTCTCAATAAAACTAGCAATGATGAAATTAATTAATAAAAGATTACATTGAAAAAGCGGTCATTTCTTTAAATTACCTAATTGAAAATAAAAGTGAGCAAGTGTTCTTTAGAATACAACAACAGACTAGAAACAAGTAAGAAAATTCCAGTATTAGAAACTTCAGGATTTTAGATGAGAACTAGGAACATCTTCAAGTACTGTACTTCAAAAAGCAACGAGACACCTCGCATAATCAAATCTCACAGACGGATTCATTTTTTTAAAACTTTTCTAAGTCTTATTGTTTGAATGGGGCTTTCCAAATCTTTTCCGAG